GGTTTAAGTTGAAGAACCTAGATGTGGCTAGGAGCCAAATGAAAATCATTTAGAGATGATTTGAATGAATTACGAATTTATGTTTATTCTTCTGATGAACTTTTTATGGAGAAGTCATAAAGAGTGTATCAATTCTTTTTGAAAACTTATACTAGGAAGTAAGTTTACTTCACGTAAGTAATCAAAGTAAATGAACAATGTGCTTGTTTAGATAACTTGATATGTATGCTCTCGTGATGAGATAAAGGATGTTTCCTTCAACGGGAAAATAGATACGGAGCAATCTAAGGATGTCAAGCTCCAAATACTGATAATAAAATTGGTAAAATCTATGTATGCTTGGAACATGTCCAAAGATTACCAATAGAATGACAAGTCTAAGTTAATTGATGTCTATGTGAGAGACATACTAAATTATTGGTAGCTTGTCTATTTACATGTTAAATTTGAATTTAACAGATGTGATTTCCTGATGTGATTCTAGTTTTTAAAATCATATCTATGGAAAATGGTCTTATTTTGAGTCAAGCTCATTATATAGACAAAACTCTTGTAGAGTTTGAATGAGAATGATTCTAAAGTTGCTAGAACAACATGAGATGATATTCTTCATTTATCCTAGTTATGTGGAAGGAGTACTACTTAAGTAGAATACTCAAGGATAATCGGAAGATTAATGCATCTAATAATTTGCGCTAGACCAGATAAATGCTTATAGGGTAAGCAAGTGAAGTGCATACACGAGTAATAAAAGACTAAGGCACTCGATTGCCATTGTTAGAGTACTAAAGTACTTATGATATGCTCGTGTTGAGTTACATCATAGTAGATATCCAACTGCGCTAGAACGCTACACAGATACAAACTGGATATTGGGTGCCGATGACTCAAAAATGCACTAATGGCTATGGATATGGTTGAATGGTAGCCTGGACATACGTGTCTTGAAAATCCCTAAAACTAGATTGTGATAGCTAGGTTCACAATGAAATCCAAATTGTGTATCGGATAGTTGTGAAACATAGGCTAAATGGTATCACTAGTTTTGAATAATATTTCAAAATGGGGATGATTGTGCCACTAATCTATTAATCATAGATGTGGAATGACACGTTGTCAATTGTATAATGGTAATTCTCGACACTATCTTGTTGTAGATACAGTATCATTATGCAAGTATTCTCAACTATAGAAATCTTAATTGACTACGTGAAGTCAAACGATAACATTGTGGATCCGCTAACCTGAGGGTTAAATAGAGCGATAGTTGAGAAAATGACAAAAGAAATGAGACAGCCTGGAAAGAGTATAAGTCTTTTGAAGAAAAACCCAACCTAGTTGACTGGAGATCCCAAGATCTAGGTTCAAAGGGATAACCTAATCTTAAGACTTGGTGTAGTCGCTGTGGGGGTAACCTCAGCTCATTTCTGTCATGAAAAAGTGATATAAAGGAGGAGGATAGCAAGTGATTGCTTTAATGTCTCTTAAGTGAGTAATATCGTTTACTCTAGACTTATGAAGTCACCTATGTAAGAGAGAAGTGGGGCCACTTCAAAGAAGAACTGTTAAGGCTCAATTCTTTAGAAACTCTCGCAAAACCAGGACATGTTCATGGCCAAAATGAACAAAACTATGAGAACGGAACAAAATGGGAATGGTTCCTGTGTATTGTATGTGGGTTCTTTACGCAATATAGCTGGACAGTTCAAGGACATCACGTCTACTGGACAGCTAGTAAGGCAAGCATACTTTACAAGGGGGAAGTTCAAAGGGTAACACCTACTTTCTCTTTGTAGGAATCAGTTGATGAACATCAAATACTGAACCAGAAACGATTTCTATTCATGTGGGGGATTGTTGGAAATAAACTAAATATAGGTGTGAATGAGAATTTGTTTCTCATACAATTGGAAAGTTAGACATGGGTGTCAAAGAGAATATGTGACCTGATCAACCACATTTTGTCATTCCAATCACTAAATGGAGAGATGTTACTTCCCATTGAATTTTGATATTCAATAGGAATGAATGTTTGGTTTAATTCAATTGAAAGGCAAAACCGTTGTAACAGTTTTAACCATCAAGTCAGTGCATTTAATTGAATTAAAAATATCTTAAGTGATATTGGGGATTTCTCATCCTATATGTATTGCTTTATTTTCAAGAATCCTAGACTTAAGGAAAATGAACCACTTTCTCTTTTCTTCTACTAGCCAAAATCCTCCTAACCTTTCTTGGTATTCATCAAAGTCCTAGTTCATGTTCGCCGATGATTTAGTCTAAGTGCAAGACAAGATCATGTATCCGTTGTATCCTGGAAAACAAACGCTCTTACATCCTCTAGCACTCCATGAGAGGGAGCGAATCTGTTTTAAGGAAAGCGTGTTTTCACGTGCCTCGGAATTTCCTCTTCTTGAATTTTTGTTGTCATTACAAATATCTCCCTATACACTTTTCTAACAATACAAAATACAACAATGTTGCAAAAAATTAGTATGTTCCAAGTAGAAGGGGCTTTTGACCTTTAATCAAAAGGAGGGAAATCGCCTAAAAAAACTTTTAATTACTGTGTTTACGTACTCCCTCCTTTTTTTTTGATAGAAGTGATTACAAAGTAGGACATGCAATTCGACTTCTCTGCTCGCAGAAGATTGGAATAATAACTACATAAAATCAAGATATGAAGCCAATAAAAGAAGAAGAAAAAGAACGTAGAAATGATTGCCACAAGAAAAAAAAAAAAAGAAAATTACTAAAAGACAATGATTTGATATGTATAAACCACAATTGGTCAATTATGCAAGGCGAAGCGTGCGAGATTTTTTTGCCCCGACTCCTTTTTCTTTGATTATGCCCAATATGTCCACTAATTGGCATGTAGGCCATTCCTAACTTTACGACTCATTTGGGATTTTGTCCCTGAAAAAAATTGAAGAATCAGTCTTCTTATCTTATCTACTCCATAATTTTCATTTGTTTTATGGGTAAAACATATTATCTATTCGGTAATTAATAAGCACTAATGAGATTAGCCATTCCTTTCTTACTTTCGGCTCATCATAATCAGGCCTTTAACCAGGACAACATTTTTAGATAGGGCGCTGGTTGTCAGTTCTTTACTAGTGGCAAACCATAGTTTAACTAATTATGCTACTCTATACGTTACCTTCTTTTAAATCTCTTGATGTCATGTGTACTTAGGGACATTTCTTTAACAAAATTCGCTAAACCCATGTGGTAGCCAATCATGCAGAATCAAAGTTGAGACTGAATGAGTTGTGTTATTATGCTCGCTAACATTATTTTACATTCCTTTTATACATATCACGTTCATATTTATCTCTCGGAATGTCTTGAAAAACTAGAGTGTTCCAACATTATTTCCTCTGCGTTCTAAAGTTCTAATGGTCCTCAATCCTCATGGACCGCCCTCTGCTTAAGGTTGAAATTGATAACATGCCTATATTTGACAACGAGCGTGATAAAGTGGCGCCAATATATGTCACATCCTTAATTATTTCAAAAAGAAAAAAAAAACATTAACTCCAGAAGTCAACAATGCTGAAATGCAGTGACCACAGAAATCGGGGAACCTGGAAACTTGGAATTAGACAAAATACAATAAACGAAAAGCAGACAAAGCAAAAACAGCTTGAGAGTCCCCTCACAAGTTTTCCGCGACTTGTAGTATATTTTTACCCTTGAACATTGAGCCATTTGGATTTCTTCAGTCTAGCACCACAAAATGCCATTAAGATGATTACAACATTTTTCATAAATAAACTTACCAAAAAACTAGACATTCCTTCTAATTCCCGCCCCCCCGCCACACCAAGTTCCCCTGTCTTATTCTTTCTCAGTCTACTACAAGATTTTTATGATATGTTCACTATCATTACATTCTTTCTGAAATTGATATACATGTCTACAGGTCCTCACTACGTTGCATTCCAACCTTTCGTAGTACTCCCTCCGTCCCATAATTATTATCCAGTTTGAGTTTTCATTTTTAGTTCAATTTGTACTAAAAGTGAAATCTTGGAGAATAATTTTAGGACGGAGGAATATTACTTTTGATTATGAGATATTTGTATCTTTTTTTTCCCCAAAAACCTTTTCCCCTGCTATCGAGGTATGACTTTGCATTATTTTATAACATTCATAAAAAATCACAACTATAATAACAATGTCACACTAGCTTTTGTTCTTGTTTCTTCACATACAAAACCAGTGCTGCCAAATCGAAGAAGCCAAATTTAACAGAGTAAACTCATTAAAAATAAATAAATAAAAAAAACCTCAATAATATAAAGGAACTGGATGGCATTTTCCGAAACAATTCGGAATCCAGAACGTAAATCCAAAATGCAAAAAGCCCAAAACTCCTGACCACTTACTACTTCGCTGCCTCTCTACTTAATAAATAATTTTACTCCAGTCCAAATACTTCCGGGTAGGCCCACAGTATTTGTGAGCCAATCAGAAACCAAAATGTGGAACCTTCTTGGCCTCCGTATCCGATCTGTCAATCCTATGACGTCACCCTCCGTGGTAGGCCCCTCACCCAGGGAACTTCTTGGGATCCGGGAAATGAAAAATCAGTAAAAGAAATATTGTCTTCTTGTTCCTACAATTCTCACTCCCTTGAGTCCAATCTTTGACAGCGACCGCTTATCTCTTCCCACCTTACCTTTCAACCGTCCGATCGAAAACGAAACGCCCTCTTCCGGGCCCCACCCCCCAGACTCTTTCTCTTCCCATTTTTTTCCTTCTTTTTATTCGCAATTAATTTTTCAATCTTTTTTTTTAGTTCTGAGTGTTTTCTCTCTGTAAGCTGCAGAAGAAACAGAGTATTAATGGCAGTAGTGTAGACTTGGTAGGCTATGGAGTGGTTAGAAATTTTCGCGGGATTTTCACTTTTTCACACGCATTGTGTCACTGCTGTATAAACCCAGTCGGTTTCTTTTTTTTTTGGCTTCCTTCTCCGGTTCTCAAGAAAGCTGCGAATGCAATCCCAAGAATCTTTTATCGGCCATTGATTCTTTGCCTTTCTTTGTAAGTACTCCACCACATTTAATTCTTTCAGCAGTCCCTAAGATGATAGCTTTCCCTCATTTCACTCAATTTCCTTCATGGGTTTTTCTCTCCCATCTGTTTCTTTCCGTGCATTGTTTGGAGTTTTGATAATGTGGCCCATGGGGCATTCTGTTTCTTGAAGCTGATTTGATTGGGATTTTTTTTTCTGGGTCACTGGTAATGCTCAGAGGTTTTGTTTTCTTCTATGGTGTGTATCTGTTTGTGTGGATCTGGGAGTTTGATGGGTTTTTGAAGTTAATATTCTCCATTATGTAACAGATTTGTTTTTTTTATTATATCTTAGCTGATGGAGTTTTTTCTTTTTCTTGGTAGTCTTTTTGATTTCCGGGTATGTTTAGGCTTATTGTCTATGGATCTTGTTTCAGGATACCAATTACTGATGGATATGTTGTACTCTGTGAATTTTGTTGTTTGCATCAGGCTTCTTAACAAGTTCTGTGATTTTTCACATTATTTTTCTTCAACTTTGAGAGTTGCCGGAATCTAGACAGTCCTGAATTCTTGTAACATTGTGACGTTGACACTTATGCCTGTTTTGATTGTTAGCATTGGCTGATAAAGTCTCTTCCTGAAGTCCCATTTTTCTTTTTGATTCTTAAACTATTATGAAGTTTAAAGGAGATTCGCAAACTTGACACTTCGCGCACGTAAAGTTATAAACGATGTAGATGGCTGTCTAGGAGATTAGTTTATCTGAACAAAGTTCGCCAATGAAAATGCATTGCGATTTGATGGAGATTAGTCTCAGTTCATTCCGTGGTTATTTGAACTTTGAACGCGTTGGGTTTTGCCTGATGTCTTTGCTAATGCTGCATTCTGCAGAAATCATCCTCACGCCCATAATTGTTTGAATTTCCTCCTGGTTTTCTCAAGTCAGTGTATGTGTAAGAGATGGATGTTGCACCATGTATTGGGTGGCTTCAGAAACTTTAACTAATTATGGACGATAATTTTGAACAATTTTGCAGTTTGGCATGTCCTTGATAATTGTAGTATATTGTCAGCTATATGTTACTCCAACCATAGATTTGTCAATACCAGCAATGTAGACTCATTAACTAGTTGCTTTGTCTACCTCCATAACTGTGTTAACAAATCGGGTTGTGAATTTTTGCAGCTGAGCTTGGGGCATTCTATAGTATGTCAGCAGAGAAAACATTAAGCAATGAATATTCTAATCCTGCTAGAATCATGGGGAGCAGGGTAGAATCTATGAGGGTTTCAAGACAACAACCATGGACAACTTCTGTAAAAGAAAAGTTCTTCTCTCATCAAGGACATAAGAGTTCTAAATTTCAAGACACTTGTACAATTTCGGCTCCACTTGGTAAGGCTCATGCAGATCTTCAGCAAAATGGAATGAAACAGCATGCAGATGAGAGGCAGAAGGTACAAGTTCATCCTTCTACCACTGGCCAAAAGCACCAGCTGAGCTCAAAAACCAAAAAGGATGATGAACTTGTCAAATACATGTCAAATCTGCCAGACTATCTTCAGCAAGCAGAAAAACAGAAGAACGTTCAAGTAAAGGCGTTGAATTTTGGAGTTCTTGATTGGAAGCGCCTAGAAAAATGGAAGGATGGCGAACACATGCCTGGGAGAAGTCGGTCGAAAGCATCTTCAAGTGGTAGTTCTTTGTATATGGAGAGTGGAAAATCAGCATTGTTCCAAAGCTCTGGTGGGAGGAAAACATCAACTGATTTACAACTTAAATTTTCTACTGAAGTAAGATATTCTGAGGATGCTAAGCTGACTAAAGGTCCTCAAACTGTGTCACAGAGTAAGGTTTCTGAGCAGCAAAAAGACTTTTCTATGTCAGTACGATCTTCCACCAGGAATTGTCCTCCGGCAAAACATGACAAGGGCAAGAAGAAAGAGGCAGATCATATTGAGAATACCTCCTTAATGTCTTCAGTTACTCTTGGAAAGCAACATGGTAAAAGCAGGACAGCACCAGATAGTAACATCAATGCTGAACCACAGAATATTGTTCTTTTGAAACCCAAGGGTCCTTCTCACAGAAGCTCCTCCCATGTCTCACGGTCTTCAGCATCATCTGATGGACATTTGGCAAAGGATGCCAAACATAGGTACTCTGCTTTATCATCTTCTCAGGAACCTAGATCCAGAGATTTCAGCCATGATATTCCACATTCCTGTCCTCTTCCTCCACACAGACGTGAAAAATCAACCAAACCTTTGCCATCTGATGCCAAACCCAAAGCAAACCCTTCTCATGTTGATTATCCAGCTTCAGCCGACACCTCTAAGGAAATGAATATTGATGCTACTCTGAATCCTGAATCTCGGGAATCGTCAAGGCGACAGGTTGCCGATAGGAACAGAAGCAGATATCGTGATTTTGTTTCTTCTCAGGAGCTTCACTGCAGAGTACTTAAATCTGAAATCCCGCATTCATGTCCACTGCTTGATAATGTTGCTCTCTCTCAAGGCAGGGAATCAGATTATTCTTCATATCCAATTCCAAATGATGCTTCACTAGAACCAAGGTTATCTAATGCCACATGCCCTGAATCTAAAAGTTGCAACCTTGACGATTCAGTTTCCATTGAGAGTTTCAATGAAATGGACTTGGCTTTGGGTAAGCAGACATCCCGCAGAGGAAGACATCCCTCACCTCACCGAAGGTTTAGTTTTAGCTTTAGTAGGTTAAGCAGAAGTTTCAGTTTTAAGGAAAGTTCCACATCTGCTGATGTAATGTCGACGCATTCAGAAAATTATGAGCTTTCAGCAGCTATTGGTGACAGTTCTAGGGACAAGGTGAATGCTAGTGGCAGAAGACGTCCGAGTCCATTCAGGAGGTTAATAGATCCAATATGGAAGCCCATCTTATCTCATCATTCCACTGAAGCCGTTCAGAACAAACATGCCACTCAATCTCCTGAGGAAAACTTTAGCTTCGCAATGTTGCATCCGAATGACATAGATAAACCCCTTCCAAGTGGAACAAATCAAGCATTGGGTGTTGAAGCTCTCATGCAGCTTACTGTCAAGAATGGAGTTCCCTTCTTTAAATTTGTAGTGGACAATAGAAGCGACATCTTAGCTGCTGCTTTGAAGCAATTACCGTCAGCTGGAAAGGGTGATTGCAGCTTGACATATTCTTTCTACTCAGTTCATGAAATTAAGAAGAAGGCTGGGGGTTGGATAACCCATGGATCAAAATCAAAAAATGGCGGTTTTGGGTATAATGTGGTAGGTCAGATGAAGCTTAGTAGATCGTACATTTCAGAGTTGAATGCTGTGGATTGCCACGAGCATGATGTTGTGACAGAATCGGTTTTATATGATGTCAACAGTGCCGATGGAGATAAAGGGTTACTGGATTTTTCACCAAACAGGGAAATTGCTGCAATCATTCAGAAGGACCTAGTTGAAGAACTCAAGGATACTGCCAAGAATATGACAGTCATTTTGCCTGGTGCTACACATACTTTACCAAGTAATAGTGCACCTTCCTCATTGATTCAACGGTGGAAATCTGGAGGATTATGCGATTGTGGAGGCTGGGATGTTGGTTGTAAACTTAAAATTCTCACGGATGGTTATCATGGAAGCAGTTTTTCCCCAGAACATGTGACTCTTTTCATTCAGGTATCTGCCTTCCGCTAAATTATCATAAGTTAAATTAGGCTTCCACTTGTCTTTTTTATTCACGTGTATGTTTATCAAATTTCAGTAATCAAAGTCTTAATTATTGATCAATGTTTCTCCTCAGGGTGGCAACATGAGAGACCAGCCCATCTTCAGTTTGGTTCCTGTTGAAGATGGAATGTATTCTGTTGAGTTTAACTCATCTATTTCTTTGTTAGAGGCATTCTCCATCTGTGTGGCTGTCTTAACCAATCGGAAATTTGCTTATATTTTTGACATTAAGCATATGGCAGAATCAAATTTAGCAGTCGAATCCAACTCTGGAAATGATGATGAGAAAAAGAATGAGATCAGACTCCAAGGTGAGCTACCTGCCAAATTTGCGGCATTCCCTCCCTCATCGCCTGTTGGGAGAATTTGAAAGCGTCTAATTGGAGGGAATCTGGCTCATTGGTTGAAAATGAAGAAACTAGACCGATCTGCAGAAGTCTCTACCTAGACTTTTGGTCGAGTGAAATCTACATACAGATATTGGAACAGACATTATTAGTGACCTCTGTAATTTTGGTAGTATTACATTAGTTTACATGTATAGACTTGAGTATACCACTCATGCTCCAAAAATTTGGAAAATGAAGAAAGAATATATGCTAGTAGCTGGAACTCCTATGCATTGATGCAACGCCAATGCCAAGTCCAATTCAACTTAAAGAAATCTCTCATTTTTTTTTCCTGAAAACTTTTTATGATTATATTGTTCACTGCATGGTGTATAGAATATGATTCAAAGAAATTTTTAGCGCCATGTTGATCACTTTCTTCCTGAAATCAATTTAGTAACATCCGACCTACATATTCAACTTGTTACATTAAGTACTTAATGGCAAAGTTTGCCAGGAATAGAACAGGACATAAATTATGTTCCTACAAAGTTGCCAGAAACTAGACCCTCCATTACATAACCAAAACTGCAGCCTCTATGCTTGGATTTCTCCTATATATGAACAAAACCTTTCAAGACAACAGACAGGTAACTCTATAATTCTGGATACAGGATCCCCCCTTCGTGAGCAACATTTCCGGAAAGCACAGAATTCTCCTCGGCATCTCAGATCACAGATCAACATATGACGCATGGTGAACACAGATATGCCACTGACCATCAATCTTCTCAAAAACATTTGTCGCAAACTGTTTACCCCAGCTGCTCCCCTTTGTTTTAACCTTTTCGATGCATGTAACATATCCTACATCCCCTTTAACATGTACTTGAACGTCCAGAATATCAATTTGCAGAGGAAATTCATACTCAGCCCACACGATTTCCCAGCTCCCCATCACAGAATCATAGCCAGATATGCCACTCACGCCTGGATGCACAACACACACGTTATCACCCTTTGACCACAGGGCTTGCATAGCCGCCAGATTCCCATTTCTGAATGCCTCGTAAAATCGAGCGTTAGCTGCTAGTACAGAAGCCTTGCTGTCACTCTGAAGAGAACGAAGGGTATCTCTTATTTCTGCTGCTCTAACATAGTTCTCCTCCTTAATTGCATTCTGTAGATCCTGCTCCAATGTCTGCTCATCTCCGATGATACTTTCTCCAGTTAAAGTCCCTTCTGAGTCCTCACTTTTAACTCTACACGGTTTCAATAGGTATGGTTGAGAAGCTAGCCTTGACAGAACTGCTCTGAACAAAAGAAAATATTAGACTGATAAAAGTACAAGTATCTGTAAAAGATGGTTCCCTTAACGAATTAATTAAAGTGGCACGCCCCGTGCCGGAAGGCTCCCTGTTTCTGGAGGGTACCGGGTATGGGGGTGTAATGTTTGTAGGCAGCCTTAACCTTGCTTTACCCAAAGAAGCCAGTTTCTAGTTTCAAACCCGTGACCAACGAGTCACAAGGCAGAAACCTTACACTTGTGCCAAAGGCTCACCTCAATTAGCATTAAGGTACACAACGTTTAGAAGCAAATGACCTTTTTTGGTGACGTTTGATACAAGTCTATTAGCATTCAAAGCAGCTCAGCACCTGCCTAAAAACTTCTAACTACTACCAATTTAAATGCGATAATAATTTTTTCATTGACTTCTAACTCTAAGTCCAGTTTTTTCAAACAAGAGGGTTCAATAGTCAGCCACTGCTACTTCCAACTCCACTGCTTTGCAAGAAACTAAAGCAAACAGGATAATAAACGTACCAATCATTCCTTTTCTCAAGGGGAGGCCGGTGCCATCACTAAACCTTGGAGCCCTGCACTGCGAATGGAAAGTCAAAGCTAAGTGAGGAGGCAAAGCAATGTGACGTTGTAGAGCAAAGGCGGGGCCCTGTTCATCAAAAATATAGGAATCAGAACAAACAGAACCGCCAAAATTTTACTCCAGATTTACACCTCGGCAGACAACTAAAAACCCTCCAAAAACACTCAAAAACTGGATAGGTTCCGAAGAAAATCAAATGAATGCACGAAACTCAGCAACTTAATATTCTTCCCTAACTAAAAATAAGCCATAAGAAAGCAGCCATTTTGCTTCCAAACCAAAGATTTCTCCGATCTCTAATTCGTTTAACTGCACATCCTCCCAGACCCTCTTTTGCCCACAACATAAACAAAATACTCTGCTTCAAAGTCTGATTTTCAACTGAACAAATGAAAATTCTCACAAATTCGAACGAACTAAATAAAGCGTATATGTACAGAAGAACTACTTACTTTGTTAAGGGAAGAAACGGGTCGACAGATTGGAGGACATGACAATCTTGAAGCTTCCATTCGCAATTGATTGGAAGAATAAATTCATCAATCAGCTAGCTGATACTTGAGCGAGAGAGATTGGAATTCAGAACTAGATAAGAATTTTTTTTCTGTGTCAGTGAGGAACCCGTGATGAAATTATTTTTACTACCTTTTTTTTTATATAAATTAATTTTGGTTGCAGCTTACAAGTTTCGGTGTTTTTGTTTGACTATACTGATGTTTGATTTTGGTTCAGTAAAGTGGAAGCAGCTCAGAGGTAATAGTTGGCAAAGCCATTTTGCTTTGGGGTTTGGATTAAGTTTCGCAGGTTGTTGGGCCGATTTCCCTAGGTTGGTCCAACGTCAACGTAATGGGTTCGTTACACTCATTAAAAAAGAAGAGGTTGCCCAGTAACTTTGGTGTCCATTTTCATCCTCCCCTTTTCCTTAGACATGGATATTGACCGGTTGACGTAATGGTCAAATCATAACACGTGGCTGCACCTAATCAATGATTTATTAACCCCGGTATTGGTATGTGGAGTTTAATTATGTGTGTCGTGATTAGAGTTTTGTTTTTGTTGGTTTTGTAGGGTATCAGAGGTTTTCATCAAACATTGTATGGTTCATTCATTCGCAGTTAAATTATGAATCAGTCACACATTATTATAAAACACGATGAATAAAGAATGAGATAGAGTGTTGGAGTTATTTTCAATATATTGTAGGGACACAATTAATATGTTGTTTTTATTGGGTGTTTTCAATATATTGCGGGGACACTACTAATAAGTTGTGCCTATTGACTCCGTATGAAAAGACATTAACGAAAAGTTATGTCTAAGGTCATAACCAAGGGTTATGTCTAATCCTCAAAAGTTACCTAAACTTTATAAATATGGATCATTTGGATGTTTTTAGTGTACAATGAAATCACCAAATACTTGGAATATTTTCAATAACATTTCTTATCCTTATATCAGGTTGTTGGTTCACTAAAGTGCATAGTAAAATAACATGATCTCCATTTTATCTCATAGGGAATTCGCCTAGACAATTGCACTGTATAATGGACGAATTTAGCCTAAAGGAAAGCAAGTTTACTTGTAACTTTGAGACAAAACTTTCTTTTATTCTAGCGATAAATTCTTTATCTTATTCTTTAATCTAATGCAGCTATTGTTGTCCACTATTTTTGAAATAGAATTCCAACACAGAGTAATAGAAAATATGGAATCATGGAATACATGCAATAAAGCAAAGGTCATATAAGCAATGTTACATCATAAGGAACACGACTTATCCTTACTCACCTGGCATAAAGGACTTGATTTAAAAAAAAAAAAAAGCAACTAAAGGGTGACGAAGGGCTTTCTAAATAAAAATCTGGTTTGGCTTGTTTCATGAAAGGGTTTTTATTGTTTGGATGTGTTGCGTATTCGATGTCACACAGCACTTGGAACGCAAAATTTTCAACTCTCATATGTGATTTAAATAATGAAAAATATCTGGTAAAGTCATAACGTGCTGCCCCTTACCAGACCATGATTTCAAATGAGCAACTGAGATTGATTGATTAAAGGGGTCGATTAAGATTTAAGGATGATTAGTTAATAGCAGTTTTATTATATAGTATTTGATGTGATTAATCAGAGTTGGAGTTGATGATGTTAACCTGAGATGATTGTGGCCAAAAATGAGAGTAAAATGAAACGTCAGGTGTGACACCCATTCCCAGACCCAGATCTCACGATTTGTCCTTTTTTTTTTATTGACAGTTGACACCCTAACTACTCCTCCACTTAATAACATCGCTGTTAATAAGTTCTTTTTAAGTTTGAATCCCTGTTTTTGATTTTTTTATGCAACTGATATATTTGAGCTTTTTGATCGCTACAACCGCCGCTTGCCAGAAACTTTAACTTTAATTTCTTATCCTATTTATGTTCTTTAAGAGGACCTTTTTTGAATTTCCTTTTTCATGACTAATTTGTGAAAAAAGCGGGTCAAGATGTTTTATTTTATGTTAATCAGTTTAAGTATGATGTATTGGTTTGTGCTGAGTGTTCTGCCATGGTTGAAACATGTTTTAATTGGGTATCATGCTCTCGTTCTGTACAAGATTGAATTTAAGCGTTATCGCCTCTTTTATTGTAACCAAAAAAAAAAAACTCAGTTCATGTGTTTCTCAAAATTAATCAATGCTGAGTTGGAAAAGAAAAATTCACCGTACAGTATAGTACTTATAAGAAATGGTTACGTAAAGTATTTCGATTATTTTGCAAATATTAGTCACTATATTAATAATATTCGATATCAGTCACTACTTATAAGAAATAGTGGATAGGCAAATAGAACGAAATAAAATAGAATTATTAAATAGGATTGAAAGTGTTGGTATTTATTAAATTGATTTCGCAGTGTCAGTCACATGGGGAAGGAAACTGCAGATATGAGTCGGGGACAAGAATACTGTCTCACAGACTCACACATTATGGCCTTCTCACCAAAGAAGACATTGAGTGGCATTACGGTTACGCAGCAGCAAATGACGGGGTCCGGTCCCTGTTGTATTAATGTGCAGCATTTCATCGCCATTTTTACGTTTATTCTTCTTTGCTTTTTTTTTTTCCGTTTTCAAAAGCGATAGATTATAGTCCTTATATTAAGATAAAAAATAATAATAAATAAATAATCATAGGAATTGATTACAAGTTTACAGTTAACTTACGATTGAACTATCAGGATCCGCCTCCATTTCTATGTTTACCTATCCTTCCAATCTTCCTTTCTTTTTTAAAATGCCTTACTTTCAAAAATGAAAAAAAAAAAAAAAAAACAAAAAGAGCAAACTTTTGACATGGATGTTGAACTGAAATGCACTAAGAAAAATCATCATATTTATCCAGGTTGGCAGCCAAAATTTCCAGAATTCTGAGGCCTTTCTGAACATATATATATGAGCATGGGGCATGCTGTCTTGGTCTACTTCTGTGGAAACCGAACTGTCAATGTTTGGTTAGTTTCAATTTGGTCAGCAGTCCTCTACTTGAAGGTCAACCCTACATTGAAAGTCTTGTTATACACTATTGCATCCGTATCCGGAAAATAATCATGTTTATTGAATACTGTACAATACTCTTTATTTTAAAACTAAAGATATACTCCCTCCGTCCCATAATTATTGTCCAGTTTGAATTTTCATTTCTAGTTCAAATTCTACTAAAAGTGATATCTCAAACTGGACAATAATTTTGGGACAGAGGGAGTACTAGTTAATTTGTTTCTCTTTTTTCCTTGCATTATAATGTTTGGTTAGTGTGCATTGTTTTTTTTTTCTTTGATCATTTTGTTTCATAACGTATATTTATATCTCATTAGATGACAAATTTAAACTTGATGTGCTATAAACATAAGTAACATATAGTCGTAACTCATAACCGTTGCACAGGCTTCTTCTACTGGTTAAAAAATCTCTAGATGACCCAAAATGCCACCCGTAATAAAAAGGGAAAAAAAATGATTTAATCAGCGAAAAGTTTCAGCGAAATTTTAACAATGATACATGTAACGTGTACTCCTTCTGTCCCAAAATTATTGTCCAATTTGGATTTTCAGTTTTAGTACAAATTGAATTAAAAGTGAAAATCCAAATTGGACAATAAGTTTGGTACAAAGGAAGTATAAAATATGTTCATTTGCCAATTTTCATTGTCTGTAAAAGAAAAAAAAAATTCATTCTTTTATATTCTCATGACTTTATCTCGTTTCACTGGATAGTTTTACTGTTCTCATCTTTTATAGTACGAAAAATATAGGGGCTGAAGAAGATACTAGAAGGGAGTAAGGCGTAGACACGTTTTGTTGAAACATGGATTGCAAACAGCCAAGCAACCAAATCGGCCGGCTGGCGTTAAGGACCATTGACCATAACTCACATCTTGCAGTCTTTGGCCTTTTTTATTTTATTTTTTTTAACAAAATACATTATTTTCTACCTCTTCCACTTGGAGGTTTGATATAATACCATTTTAGAGTGAAAAATCTATATCTATATTTCTATATATATTAAGGGAGAGTTTTCAATCGACACGTACATGTCGTAAAATTAGATAGCTTAATCCACATGACAAAAAATTAAATAACCAAATCCACATGTCGCAACCATATCCCTCCATCATTTAATGGTAATTTTTATTCTCTATATATATTAAGGGAGAGTTTTCAATCGGACACGTGGCGTAAAACTAGATAGCTTAATCCACATGGCAAAAATAACCAAGTCCACATATCGCAACCACATCGTTCCATCATTTAACGGTAATTTTTTATTTGTAAATCTGTAAAATTTATAAATAACTAATTTTATCCAATTTAAAATTTATAAATAACCTATTAAATATTTTAAATTATAAATCCTTAAAATCTATAAGTAACCAATTATTTTTTAGTACCGAAAAGTGTCTAAGAAAAAAAAAGAAGAAGAAAATTACGGCAAAATATTCTTCATGAATCGAAAATCTGGACTTCCCACTTAACACTAAAATCAAACAACATCACAAAGAAATTTGTTTGTTAGGAAATTATTGAGCAGAAAATCATCATCACCATAAGTAAGACATAAAATGATCATCAATATATAATTCCAACCAAAAAACAACAAAGTTTAAAAATGTTCTAACGTTTTTTTTTTCGGGACATTAATCCACATGAAAAGTGGATAACAAACCTGGAATTTAAAAAAATCAAACTTTTTGTTTTTTTTTTTTCCCTTTGGAAGAAAAAAGCTCCGAAACAAAATTCAACTAATTTGAAAACCCTCAACATTTTCAAAGACTTGTGGACAAATTACTTTCACTCCAATCAAAAGTAGTACAGAATGAAAATAGAATTTAGTCTTCAAGTTTGCTTTTCCTCTTATTGTGAATAATAACACTTTTTCGATTAATTTCTTTCTTTCTTTTTCAAAATTTATTCAATTCAAACTATTAAAGACAAATTCTACTTACAAAAGAATATAACTAGAAATCTTATCAATAAATCATAAAGAAAATGCATTTTCAGCATAGTTTTCATGGTTTCGGTTTTTGTTACTTGGTTTTGTTAAGAATAATTAATAAATTCAATTCCATTCACAATGTATGGGTAATAAGTATTAAATTTAAACATAATTAAATATCAATATCAAATAAATAAGTTTTAAGAAAATAAAATTATAAGAAATAAGTATTTTTAAAGTAATTTATATTTTGTAATATTAACACGCCCAAATTAAAAAATGAA